CAGTGGTTAGGAATTGGAATCCCATTTCCATTCTGGTGGAACAGCGCATTCTCCCATGTGATAGAATGGCCAATTCCCTCTCCCTCTGTAAATAAGAATTCACTTAAGCTGATTCTGATTTCCATCTAAACCAAACGGGCAAATGAAATATACCACCCAGATGATGCCAATGGATATCCCACGTATCTAAGAGTTCACTTAAGCTGGACTCTTAGATACGTGGATAGGCTATGAAGGGGTCATATTCTTACACCTATTGACCACCATAATAATTGATGTCCCAATTGAGCTGGTTAGGGATGATTTCCATGATTAATATGGAATTATAAATGGAGAAGTAGGGACAGGCTCAAAGAAGATTTCTGATTTCCACCGGAGTTATAAACATTTAAAATGTCAACAACCCACATTCTATGTACCAACAGTGCTTTGTGCCTATAAATTTTGATCCTGGGTTGAATCATTTTTCTTCCAATTATAATTGCATGAACCTATTCCGCAGAGGAAGAATATAGATCCGCAATGTGCACATGACACCTTAATTCAGGTCCTTATTTGTATAAATATTATTTTACCCACTCGTGATTGAGGCTACCAAAACAGCCAAAGATTTTCCAGATGGAGCCTGTTGCTTTACATGCGTCATGTTGATGGTATTTTGTGTCTTTTTACATATGGTTTGGTAGGTGCTGGGTTGGGTGTTTTAGTAATTATATACAACCTTAACATGAACACGTACCGGGAGTAGATCTTTATTTGAATCCTCAAAAGTCAAGTGTAGGAGTCAGCTTTTATCTAAGGCTGTGTTTGGTTTGAAGGAAAAAGCAGGGAAAAGAAGGGCAATATAGAGAAATCTTTACAAACCTTGTATAGGTTTTTCTATCTTTCTCTTCTTTTAATTTTCCTACCTTTTCCTTCAAACCAAACATAGCCTTTGAAATTCAAATACAATTTCAAAATTTCCAACGGAATATTATATATGAAACCTTGTGAATTTCAGAATCGCAAGGAAACCGAGACCGTTTACACATGTTGACAAAAAAGCCAACATAATGATGTGGTTGGACCATACATGTTGAATGTTTTACACAAGTCGTGAGGACTAAAAGCAGTGTTTTGTAAAATAGAACAAATATTTGTATGTGAAAAAGACTAAAATAAACGGTCATCAACAGGTGGTGGATCCGGTCAACCCTAAAATTAAGCAACTTTCAAACCATTCAACAGTTCTCAACTTCTCATAATAGATTATGGTTGGTGGAAGACCTTAGAGCTCATGTTGGTGGAAACGTTTAGTGCCCGTTTGGGACGGTTTTTATGCAGTGGCTTGTGATGTTGTATGAGCCAAGAAATCTGAAAAGTCATTAAACCGTATTTGGTAAAAATATAGAAAGTACGTAGAAAAACACATGAATTGAAAAATAGATTAATTTCCCCCATAAAGCTATCATAGGTAACTTCTTAGAAGCGGCTCAGTCAATACAATTCAATCATCGCATAAGCCGCCCCAAATGGACTCTTAGTTACTGATATTGTGTTTGGATAAACTATGGGATATGTGTTTTTGAATCCAAAAAGTAATTCTCCAAAGCCCAAAGCTCAAAAACAAAATAGAAATGGAACTTAAAATACTTATTTCCAATCAAACCATCGATTTTACAAATATGAATCCAAAAGCTTTAATTTAGTCATGTAACTCAGAGAAGACCAATTAGGCTTGCATTTGGCATTAATAATAAGGGCTTTCTCCTTTTGCAATTAAAATACCCCTATGGACAATAATTTTTTAACAACAAAATGGAGATAAATCCTTAAAATAAGAAATGCCAAACACAGCCTTAATCATGTAACCCAATAAGGACTTATCTCCTTATTGGGTGTTGATTTTTCCTTTTTTTTTTTTTTTCTTCCACTTTTTTCTATCATTATGGTTTACCAGAATTTTCTAAGCACACGTGGCTTGAGTGAGGAATAGTTAATTATAGACATTTGAGCTTATATAGATGTTAGTTGGGCGCCAACTTGTAACCTAGATTCGATATGTTACAACTGCTCATACTTAGTTGAGTCGCTGAGTCATTGAATATATTTAATACCCATGAGGATTTTCTTTGACTTTTTTGAGGGGAAAATACTATGTAATAAATATTGAAATTATATAACTTGTTGAATATTAGACACTCTTCCCTTTATTGCATTTGATTCTTTCATACTGAAACGTTTCAGCTATTATTCCTTCTCTTTGGCAGCTATAAGAATAAAAAAGAAGGCTTTTTCGCCCCTTGTAATTTATTTTGATGTGGAAAGGAAGTAAAATTTTCACTGTGAAAGGGATAAAAATATTGTTCAAATATTTCATCCTGAAAAAAAAATTAGTTCAAAAAACATGAAAATAAAAACAACCTAAAGATAAGACTACGTAAGAAAAAGGATAATGTATCGATCATTTACAATTTGGTTAGGTCCAACACAAAGCTTTTCTATAGAAGTACTAATTTGGTCAGATATGGCTTGGCCACCGATCCTTTATGTAATTCTGTGTTTTGCAGGCCCCTATGTCTGGTCCTCTTCTATTGCATTCTTACAGGGGAATACATAGTCCATCATACAAAAATTTCTCCAAACTCAACTCATCTCCTCACAAGGAAGAAACAATTAAGGACTTATCTATACATCAATTTTTTTTTTTAATTTTTTTAATTTTTATAGATTGAGATTTTTTTTTGTATTAAGGTAGTAAAATATATATTAAAATAAAGAAAGGAAAAAGAAAGGGGATATATTTAAGGGTGTCAATGGACCAGTTTTGAATTGGACCTCATTCAAACCAAAATCAATTTGGACGGACCAACAAGACATATTGAATTGGACCAATCCAGACTTCATGGTCCAAAGTATTTATTGGATTGGATTGGACCTTGTCCATTCATAATGAATTTATATTGGATTGAGCCAATAGTTGGTTCATTGATAGAAGATAAAAATATAGGTGTCAATTGACCAGGTTTGGATTAGAATTAATCTAAACTATTACAAATATGAACAGATTTGTTGGCCCGGACATTAAATTGACCGGTTCAAAATATTTGTTGAATTGAATTGGACATGGTCCATTTGCAATGGACTCACATTGGACTGAATCAGATTGGATCAAACCCAGTCCAATGGACTCACAAAAACCCAGTTCAAGGTCACAAGAGGAGAAGCTAAAACAACCCAACAGAAGCAGGAATCCCACCAACAGAAATAAAAGACCACCATAATGCAACTGAAATGAACGCATAAGCAAAATCAAACAAAAGAAACCCTCCAAATCCACCAACTAAGACCAAGAAAATATTACTTAACCAGCACACGACCTTGACCACCAGTATTTTGACCTCGACCAACTCTGCCCCTATACCTAATATCATTGTTTTAAAAGGCTATTGAGGTGAGGCTAGAAATTAAAGGATTGGCTTCAAGTTGTTTGAGGCTTATGCCTTTAGGCCTTTGGTCTCATACTGTCCAAAGCATGAGCCTCAAGAATTTGGCTTGCTAATGTTGATTATGAAGATTTACATAAGGGCAAAACAGAAATTTAAGGCAAAAAAAAAATACTTTGTTTTATATTGGAAAATTACACAAATAAATAAATATAAAAATAATAAATAAATGCATATAAATATGTGTGAAAATAGCTTGTTTTATTGTTTATGTTCTTTAATATTCACACTTTGTTCTTACTTCTTACCCGTTTGCCCATCTATCCCATGGTTGATAACTTATTTTTTATAAAGCACATGCATCACATAGGTGGTTATTCTTCACTGATGCATAGATGTGCAAGAAATAAAACAAAAATGCTGCTCTTAAAACACTGTTGGTTCATATCCTTGAGCTGAATAATTGGATTTACATGGTATTTAGATTTTAGGAGAAAAACCCTATATTTGATAATCTTCAATGTCTAATATATTAAACAAGACATATAAAATCTTAATTTTATGTTTTTTCATGACTTTTTGTTTATAGATTATATTTTTTTCTAAAGGCTTAAGCCTCAAAATGCCTTGGAGTCTTACCTTATTTCAAACCAGCATCCAAATAAAAATCCTAACAAAAACAGTATTTTCATCAACATCCAACACACTTTCATCATCAACAGCACTGGAGGTTTCAACAAGTGGGTCTTCCCCTCTACAAAGTCAAAAGGTAACCTTATTTATAATATAATAAAAGATTATTAAATAGTAATAACATTTTATTCTATTAATAAAACATGTACTTTTATCTTCTGGCCAACTATTGGTGTGTGAAAATGGAATGCGGCCAAATCATTTCCTAACCCAAACCCAAACCCAAACCCAAACCCAAACCCAAACCGTAGATGATGCTTCCATATTTTGCCAATATTTGTACCAAGGTAAGGCAAATGACTGTTGAATGATTCATCCCAAGCTGATTTCCATTTAGGATTATATTGATTTGGGCACATTTCCATGCATTAATTCCTATTTTTTATCATTATAAACAATTGCATCTTTCTCTTTTTCTTTTTTTTCTTTTTTTTTTCAACTGGGGGTGTGCTGATTTATAAAAATTGGGATGTGTCCATATCACTCCCCATCCTTTTTGTCTTTCCTGAGAAAGGAAGAAAAGTATTAGAAGACAAGAGTTAGGTGGAAAATAATGAGAAGAATAAAGATGGAGAATATCTACAGAAGATTTGTTGGATTTCAGAATGAAATTGAGGCAGAGGACAAATCATGTAAGACATAGGTTTATTCAACTTTCTCCCTAACGATTTGTCAACTTCAAATAGCAGCTTTTGAACTTGGAACCCTCCCAAGTCACACGCAACCATTATTCCATTAATCCTCAAACTACCCAAAAAAGTAGTGGAAGAGCTCTCTTGAGTCTTGACCCGGCCAATGGCCCCAAGACGCAATAAGAAGCTACAAGATGCCTTCTCTTTCCAAATTCTCAGTTCGAAGGAATAAAAACAAACTCATTATTCCTTTCCTTCTCGTTCTTCGTTCGTTTCCCATGTACATGATCCTCTTCTATTTCCCATCTTCAGTCTATCTCCCTACAAAACGTAGTCTCTCTTTCTTTCTCCCAGGAAAGGATGCAAGAAATAGATGAGAAGGAGCTTTTGAACCTTCGGCTTTCCGTTGCAGAAGATTCTGGTGGTGAGAGGAAGCGACAGAGAAGAGATGATTCAAACTCTTTGCATCCATGTGAAGGCTATGAAGGGAGGATTTTTAGACTGCTTCACAAGAGGGAGCAAATGTTAAGATTAGACCCCAGGAAGGAAAAGATGGTGGATGATGATGGAAAGGGTCTTCATTTGATCCATCTGTTGCTCGTATCTGCCACTGCAGTTGATGAGAACAACCTTAACTCCGCCATAGAGAACTTGGTTGAATTATACAGAGTTGCATCCTTGACTGGTAATTCGATGCAGCGGCTTGCGGCTTATTTTGCAGATGGTTTGGCTGCCAGACACCTAACCCAGAGATCTCCCTCGTTTGACATGATCATGGAGGAACCCACAGCAGAAGAACAGTTCTTGGCCTTCACAGAACTCTATCGAGTCTCTCCTTATTACCAATTTGCTCATTTCACCGCAAACCAGGCAATAATTGAGGCCTTCGAAAAGGAGGAAAAGCACAACAACAGAAGTTTGCATGTAATCGACTTCGACATCTCCAATGGGTTCCAATGGCCTTCTCTAATTCAATCCCTTTCGGAAAAGGCAACCAGTGATAATCAAATCTCTCTTCGCATTACAGGGTATGGTAGAAGCTTGGAGGAAGTGATGGAAACTGAGACCAGATTAGTGAACTTCTCAAAGGGTTGTCACAATCTAAAATTTGAATTCCAAGGGTTGCTGAGAGGTTCTAAATCCATTCATCCGAGGAAAGGAGATGGAACAGTTGCAGTGAACTTGGTGTTTTATTTGCACACCTTAGGCAATTCTTTACAGATTTCTGATACGTTGAAGTTGGCTTATTCCCTTGATCCTTCTGTTGTAATCTTGGTGGAACAAGAAGGTAGCCGAAGCCCTCGAAACTTCTTGTCAAGATTTGTAGATTCTATACACTATTTTGCCGCCATGTTTGATTCTTTGGAAGATTGTCTCCCAAGAGACAGTGCCGAGAGGTTGAGCATTGAGAAGAATCATTTGGGTAAGGAGATAAAGAAAATGATTAGCTATGAGAAGGATGATGAGCACAACCAGAGGTATGAGAGGTTAGAAACATGGAAAGGAAGGATGGAGAGTCATGGGTTTAAGGGAATTAACCTAAGCTCAAAGTCATTGATTCAGGCGAAGCTTCTTTTGAAAATTAGGAGCAACTGTTCTCTTCTTGAGGTAGGTGGAGGTGGTGGGTTCAGAATTTTTGAGAGAGATGAGGGAAGGGCTCTTTCTCTTGGGTGGCAGGATAGGTACCTAATAACAGCCTCAGCATGGAAAATTTAAATGATAGATGATCTTCTAACACATTTATCATTTTTCTTGGTAATATTGACAGTACTTTCTCTGCATCAACTACTTTACCATGTTCACATAACCACCATTAAGTAGAATTTCTGTACAATTAATTTTGAGATTAAAATCTTTTGATTTTTCTACAGGAATTAATCTTTCCAATATCAAATCTACTCTTTCTCTCAATAGGTTCAATGTGTTTTAGACTAGAATGAACATTTCTTCTGCTTTGTAACCATTGTTTGGAGGTTGCCATTGTGTAACAAAATTAATTCTGTGGAGAAAATGATCTTCCTAGTAGTCTCAATTTTTGGGTTGTTATTAACATTAAAATCAAGACAAAGCCAAACAAATTGCAATTCAAATGTAGACGTTTATGCAAATAAACAAACAAATTTAAAAGTAGGTTACAGCTCTAGTTCTAAAGATCACTTCAAATCATGGAGAAGCTCTTTTAAAGGCTGTAACATGTTTAAGTTGATTGTGTTTATTTCTCATTTCGGATGCCAATGAATCCATGATGGGTCATCAGTCATCATAAAATTCTATATTCCTTTTGTGGCGCAGGAATCTCTTACCTTTTCTAAAGAGATCTTCAATTTTCCTTGGGGACAAAAGTTGCAAGTTGGTTGTGGGCGGCCATCAGATTCTTTATTGATATGGGCCAGAATTTATAGAATTTAATGGCGCGGAGTTGGGGGCCCACTTGTTGAAGCTTGGGCTTGGGTTCTATAATTCATTCAGAAGGGCCCATGTTAGGTTATGGATCCTCCTGGGTGTCTTTTCAGTTTTCACTCCTTTTTCTTTTATTTCTGCATTGTAATTTCAGCTACCCCTTCTTCATTGGGATTATTATATCAATCAGTTGATCGATTGTTGGCCCAAGTTTTCTCCCAATTCTTCAAGGACACACTTTGCTACCAACAAGACCTTATTCTCATAGGTTGATTTTATGACCTAACTAAGAAAAGCCATATTTTTTTCCCAGTGGTTAGTTATTCTTCTCCATAGATAGATTTTTATTTTATAATAATTTTCCTTTCTTCACAAGTCACAAGCATGCCCCTCACCGATCTGATGCGTGCTTTTGCAAAAGTTGCCACTTGTGCTACTCTTACACATGGATGAGACCATGAACGTTCCAACCATTCGAACAAAATGGAAGGCCCGTTCTGACAAAGAAAGCCAAAAACAGTTGGACAGTTCGAACGGTTTGATCACATGGGTCAGCAATTTGTCGACCAAATCATTGGTTTTTGGTCAAAAGATGGTTCTGGGGTAAAATGAAACCAATCAGGTGATCGGTTCTTAGTTTTTCCAGTCTGGTCCGGTTTTGAAAACCATGCCTTCTCATTTGTTTTACGAATGTCATCCAATCTTACCAGGTTTTTAAAACCGGACCGAACAGTGAACCGTTCTGGGGACCGGTTTCTGGGTGGTAGAACCGCCCGACCATTCGATTTGAACGGACGGTCCATTCTGACTTAAAAAATAAAAAATATAAACAATAAAAAAAGGCCAAAAACCATTATCTGGGTCAACAGTTCAATGATTCAACCATCCGGATCAACGGATCACTGACCAAATTAATGGTTTTTGGCCTACAGTGTTTTTGGTCCGATCATCCTGTCTTATCCGGTTTTGAAAACCATGTTTTATAGTATCATGTTAACTCCCAAGATGCTATGATGCACAATGTTGATGATTACACGTGTAATTGAAATTCGGTATGCCACATTGCCACCACACTTTTTTTTTTCTTTTTTCAATTTTGCTAAAAAAACCATACTTAATTTTAGTGTACAACTTCGAAAGTATATACCACTACAAATAATATTTAGGTTTTCTCACTACCAACCACAATGGAGACATTTCTAGTTTGGTGGTAGAAGCAAGACAGCAAAGCTAGATAAAAGCCCTTTTTTTTATAGGTTAAGGTTACTATAGGGGAACCTACTTTCGAAAGTGATTCTTCAACTATGATACTTGTGGTACACCAATGCACTTGTGATATTAATTGGTAGAACAGTTTGCTAGAGGTAGCTCCAAGCATCTTTAAATTCACTACATGGTTTATTAATCGCCGTTGATCTGGGCAGTTGGACCATTCGGCTCGGGAACCGTTTAGGAAACTGGTTCATTTTACCCTAAACCCAGTCTTTGATAAAAAACTGTTGAATCAATCAATGATCTGTTGACCCGAATGGTCGAACTGTCAACCCGTTCAACAGTTTTTGGTCATTTTTATTTTTAATTTTTTTTTGTCAGAACCGATCGCCCATTCAAACCAGACGGTCGAACCATCGACCCAGAAACCGGTGGCCAGAGCGGTTCCATTTCTGAATCAATTTTTAAAACCATGTTCATAGGTTCAGATAAGGGAGTTGATAAATTGGAAGATAGCTAATCTAGCTTCTAGTACCCAAAATAAAATCCTTTTTTGATAGAGAAGCTTTCCTCAACCCTTCCCAACAAACCACTTCATCCCATATGTGTAGGATTTATGATGGATGTATATGTTTTGGAATGCATAAATTGTACTGTGGCAAATTTTTTAATGATATTATGTACCTGGTATACTTGGAAATTGGTTTATCATTTGAAACTATTTTGAATTCCTTTTAAGTATTACAGTACAATTCAAACAATAAGATTGTAAAAGCTGGAAGGAAGCGAGATGGTTTCTTCTCCTACTAATGTCAATTCTTTGTCAAACTTAGCCACGAAAGAAAAAATATGCTTAATGTGGCATGATATTTGGGAAGATTGATGCTAAATAGAAGTTATACTCTAGAAAGCCTTGTCCCAAATACATGGGGTCAGCTATATGAATCCTGTTCTAACCATTTGTGTTGTTTAGTCTAATATCCAATGTAAAGAAAGATGAAAGTGATTTTTTGTGTTCTTTTTTGCAATACATTTCCTCAGCTCCTTTCCTTTCCCTATTTTGCCCCCTTTCAATTATTTTTCTTCTGGATTGATCTAATGAGAGAGGCAATATAACAAGAAGAAGATCATTCCAAGAGGGCTAGAAATTATTTTTATTTTTCTTCAGTTTCTTTTTTCATTGGTTCAATCTTCTCTGTAATGCTTTTCAACTTTACACATCTTTATGTATTATATTTTCTTAAACTCAGGATTTAATATTCATTTGCTTGATAGATTCTAATTTACTTTCGATTTAAAAAATTCACCCTAAAAGATGAAAGGTTAAACAATAAGAAAAATATTGGGCCTGTTTGACACGTCTTTTTGGGAAGATCTTCTGGTAGCTATGACAATTAAGCTTTTGCATGAAGATTTGAGCAGTCCGAAGCATGTTTGGCAGGCATATGTCTTTCCGCACGAGAATAAACTGCAAAAGACGCAAAAAGTTTCATTTCAAGCTTCCCGAAATCAGCCCAAAATGGGCTTTTCACATCTTTTCGGCATTCCGACTTTTGGTGGCTAGACCTTCCGTGAGCCAAACAGAAATAGACCAAAAATCGGTCTGCATGGCTTGTAAGCAGCTGAAAGACCGCGCGGAAAGACACACCAAACAAGCCCCATACTTATTCTGTATGTAGACAATGGAACTATTGTTTAAAGTTCAATCACTAGCTTTTTACTTTCAGTTGTTTTTCTTATTTGTCTGCACCCTTGCTTCCTATTTGTTATTTGGCTCATTTTATCCATTTGACATTTCATTCTGGGCTATAAAATTTGCCTCGGTGGTGAAGCTAGTAAATACAATAAATAAATTATATTAGAAAATAACATAGGTTTCTCACAGAAAATCCTAAATCATGGATCCAAGTATGATTTCAAATATTTATGACAATGCGATATCAAATAGTTAACATATTTAACTCCTCAAATTCTTGGTAAATTACAGAAATCTTCACAATTTTTAACAACAGAAAACAATGTTATATTCTCATAGGTTTTTCTTTTTTTATTCTTTTTATTTAGGCTATGTTTGAAGGAAAAAGTAGGGAAAGGAAGGCAAAGGTAGTGAAACCTTTACAAACTTTGTATAGATTTCCCTACCTTTCCCTATTTTTCCTTCAAACCAAACACAACATTAAGGAAAAATTGCTAAACTGAGGTTTATAAGAAAGTGAATCAAATGAAATAAGGCAATGCAAGTTATTTGAGCAAATATTTCTCCACCAAAATTGCCCCACAACAGGTCATGGGTCAGGTAGACCCAATAGGTCCCAATTGTTATGTTTACTCCTTGAGTTCTTTGTGGCGATCCACTTCATGAATCTTCTCCGAATTAATTTGAGAGAAACCCAAAGGCAAAATTTCATAGTGGTTTGTGAAGGAAGTATAGGGTTTGGGCTGCTCTAAACTGAATACGAAGAGTTATGTATTTTTCAAGGTTCTCTTTTGTATACTTAGTCTTTGTCTTGTGAGAAAAGAGTGAGACGTTGGGTGTATTTGGGGTTTAGGGTTTTTCTGTGAGTGAGGTTGTACAACTCTATATTTCTTTTCTATTGCTGACTACATAATGGATTTCTGCTGCGCCTTTGTTCGTGGACATAGGCTATAAGCTAAACCACATAAATTTGTGTATTCTCTTTGCTTGCTTCTCTTTATTTTTGTTTTTCTTTCATATTGGATGCCATTCAAATATGTTTTTCTCGTGTTTTCCCCAACATCAACTGAACAAATCCAATTATATTGAGTCTGATTTGCATTATGCATCCTAATTCTAATTGAGTATGGATTGGTTCGGGTTGTTGCCAACAGATTTTCATTTTATAAGTCCAAAGGTAAATTCATTCACTAATGTTACTTATAGTAATTGAAGTTAGGAATTCAGACATTTACGACCATGCCTGTGTTTCTAAAATGAAATAGAATCAAATCGTGCAACGCTTTGAACTGCACGATTACTACTCAAGGGGAGTAACAAAGTAACAAACCAAGTGGAAATGTTTGTTAGGATACTTGGGCACATTTATTTATTGGGTTAGAACTAGGTCTACCCTGACATAGGCCCAACCCAACCCATTGAAAGCACTAGCTCACAACTTTATTAAAAACTCATCCACTAAAAAGACAAACCAATAAATCATTAAGACCCTCTATAATTTTGGATTGTCCTTGCACTTTTCCCTTGTACTATTTTTTACG